TTGGAATTATAGTCATAACATAGCCATTTTGAGGAGTAAAAACACAGGGTGAATTAAATGATTGTTTTTATATTGATAATTTAAAAACTATTTCTCAAGAAGAGGATGAAAAGAACAGACATTGCTAAGGAAATAATCTTCCTGGAGGCTCAGCAAGTCTTCTTAAGTAAGGTTAGACATGCGGACTACTGGCACCCTGTAATGTGGAAGTGTTAGTAGCGAGCTGGAGACTCCTCTGCCCCAGCCTCTAGTTCATTTTGTGGGTATGTGGTTCCCATTGTGAACTAAGTCCTCTTCTAGGTGCTCATTCCAGCCTTCATCAGCCTTCAGCTGCTGTGGATTTACCATCTTTTCTCCCATCATAAAAATCTCATTTTCTTGTAGTCAATAGAATGTTAGAACTCCTGAGAGTGGGTTGTTCACAGCAGGTTTTCTCCTTTATTATGCCACACATGGGACAGCAGTGCCTCTTTCTCCTATGCCAAGAAAAGCTAATGTATCTGTGAGTCATTGAAGAAGAGGGGCTGTGGTTATGAAAGCTTGTAGCTTTGCTTTTCGTATCTTCTTCATAGCTGAAAGAAATGCATCCAAAACAGACCCCTGGAGGAATTACTAGCATTCAAGTACAGTGTTCTAGCCAGGTACCTGATGTAATGAGAGTGTTGGTCTTATAGACAGTCCCAGGCTTACAATGGTTCCATTTGTGAATTTTTTTTAGCCATACTGGGACTTGAGTTCAAGGCTTCATGCTTGCTAGGCAGGTGTCCTACTGCTTGAGCCACATCTCCAGGCCCGATTTGTGTCTTTTTGACTTTATGATTCTAAGGAAGGGAGTAGTATTAGGTAGAAGCTGTACTTTGATTTTCTGAATTTTGATCCTTCCCCTCCTGCTCCCAACAGGCCAGTGATACCTGTAACAATATTCTCTTGAAATGCCAGACAGAGGCAGGAGCTACAGATTTCAGTTAGACATGTAATCCTGAGAGTAAATTACTAGTACTCTGCAGTACTGTGTTGCTAAGCTATGCAGTGTTTAGCGGGTTGAGTATTGAAGGCATTTTTTTGTTGTTTTTTTGTTTTATGCAAAACCCTGGGGTTCGAACCCAGGGTCTCACATTTGCTTCTACAGATAATAAAATTATAGCACGTAACATTTAACTATATCTAGTTGTAAAATTGATTTAAGGAGTAAATCTCACAAGTAAAAAGTACTTCCCTGTAAAAAGTTCATATATTTTTTTTTTCCTTTCAATTGTCAGTGACCTTTTTAAAAGTATCACTCTGGGGGGTGGGGTTGCTCCTTGGTAAAGCATGTGGTTAGCATATGGAGGGCCTGAGTCCAACCCAACATCTTAGGCTACCAACCATCTCATAATAACAACAGAGTATTATTTTTAGAACATGTTTAATCTTCTTCATTGTCTCACAGATCTTTACGGGATAGTTCAGTAAGTTATGTCACATAATTTTGGAATTACATCACTTGAACTAAGAAAATAAAACCTTTTCATCTTAATTTCACACTAGTTTTTATTGAGTTTTCTTGATATATAAACTTCAGATGTGAAGATGTGTTCTAATTGTAATAAGTATCATGAAACTGAGGTGATGATTTTCTGAAAAAACAATACTTAAGGAAGCTTAATTTCTCTTCATTTGCAAACATCTTCTTAACAAATATGGGCAGTATTAGTAAATATAAGGCTATGTTGAGAAGTTTGAGGGTATAGTTTCTGAATTTGGACTTCTTATAGTCCAATTCAGGCTTTGCCACCCAGTTTCTTAGCATATTAGTGTATAATATTGATAATACTTCTGAAAACTTTGGAGGATTTTTACTGCCGTGTAGTAAGAACTTTATATATGAATATTTAATATGTGTGTATTATAGAATAGCATAGAATACATTTTACAAATATATAAAATGTAGGTGTGTGTATCAGACACATGTTCTCCATCTCTCTTTGTCTGCTCCCCAGCTGGAGTGGACTGGACATAACCTCTGAGTGCTGGTTTCCTTTCTTCTGTTCACTCCTCAATGTTTACCACTTAGAGAAGTACCTGGAAGAATAAATATTGATGAGTGAAGACAATCTCTCCACTTTCTAAACTTACTATCTCAAAATTAGGGCACTAAGATGTATTATGTGTTCCTGTTGTTTAATTGGTGAACTGAACCTTACTTTATTTCACATTCCATTTTTGGTATCTTTTATATGTGATTGCTTTATAAAGTTTGATCTAAAGCATAAGTTAATTTCACTTTTAATTTTTAATTAAAGGAGTCTAGTCATTAAGACTCAAAATATTTTCATTTAATTCATAAGCCCTCCAATGAATGCAATAATTTCTGGAGCATTGGTTTTAGGTCACTTTCAGACCTAAAAACTATAAAGTAATGAAAATAGATGCTTGAATGCATTTACTATCATCCAAAACATACCAAATATTTAAGTCTTTCACAAGCGTTTGCCTTCTAAGTAGTCACAAGCTCAAAAATATTTCTAATAACTGCTTTTAAAAAATCCCTTTTAGATCAAGTTTATTAAAAGAAATTTAACCTTTTACTTTGTGTCGGTAGAACAGTATCGTTTGATGGCTACCATCCTCTGTCCTTCTGTTTTCTTTTAGTCACCTTTGTACTCCCCTTTTCTTTTCCTGGGCTTCACTCACTCCTGCCCTTCTCAGTAGGAGTCTAAGTGGCTCTAGAAAACTTCTCCCTGCTCTGAGCTGCTTGCTCAATGCCTTAAGTAGCTGTAAATGACTGAAGCACTGAGACGTTAAATAGCCAATCTGTAACCTGAAGATTCTTCTAATGTACACACACACACACACACACACACACACACACACACGTGCACAAACACACACACACAGAGAGAGAGAGAGAGAGAGAGAAACAGGAACTATAAATATAGATATATTGAGAACAAATTCAAAGACACATGATGCAGTTTGGCTTTGGTACTAATTTATATGAGACCAATATAGACAGTTACAGGCAATTGCCAATAACTACCTTCTTATTTTTTTAATATATGAAAGTAAATACTATGTTTACTCAATCAGCATTTCTTTTTTGAGATTGAGGTTTGAATTCAGGGCTTTCTAGACCTGCTTTCTAGGCAGGTCTGTTCTTCGACCTCTATCCTTCTACCTGTACATCCCAGGTAGCTGCTGCTACACCATGTGCTGACACACTCTACTTATTTGTTGAAATGGATTCTTGCTAACTTTTGCCCGGTCTGGCTTTGAACCGCAACCCTCATGATCTCTACCTCCAGAGTATCTGAGAATACTTGAGTACTTTAGCTCCTGCATCAGGTACCTCCAACGAGCATTTCTGAGGCCTTGCTAGGTTTTTGATCCTTTAGTGAGAAATGATGCAAGTTGGAGTTTCTTTTCTTAAGCAGTTGTTATTACACTATAGAGCTAAGCTAAATAAAGAAATTTGCAGAGGTATGGGGGAACCAGGAATCATGATTGGTCCTGCCTGTGGTGAGTCTGAGAGAGCTTTGAGGCATTAGTCATTCTAGGATGTCAGAATGGATTTTCCAGATGAGAGAAAAGAGATCTAAGAGAGATATTTGTAGGCAAATCTGTACTGTCTTTACCCATGATTCTTCAATATATAAAACATTTTCATGATGGCATTTGCCTGTTCTTCAAAAACAAGAGAAAAAGTAACTCATGCAAACAGTCAGATAGTATTGAAAGGACATGCTTGATTTGTTGAAGGAGTTGCTGCTCTGTGAAATTCAAGCAGTTGATTTACAAATTTGTTTAGTTGCCTGTCGAAGTAGTTAAACATGCTATTCACACATGGACTTCCATTGCTCTTGTAGTATAAAGTCTTGATGATTGACCAAATAGGAGTGGGCGTACTTATTAAAACAAAAACAGTAAATTCTGTTGCTTTAATAGTTTAAAATTCTCAAACAAAATATAGTACTTTCATCAGTGAATAGTTTCCACTAATTTGTTTCCATATTATATTATAGTATATCTGATTTTTTCAATACTGATTTTTTTTTGAAGGAAAACTCCATTTCAGTTTTATGCTATTGGTTTTCTGCATCATATTTAATTCCTTATCAATTTGGGGACAGACGCTAAAATAGATAATAGATTTGTCACTGTTCTGGCATGTATACAGTTATACTAGTATAGCAACATGCTATTAAAGCAACATACTCTTACAGCAATAGTATTATAAGTATAATAATATAATAATAAATCCTAAATATCTGAGTAATTAAAGAAGTATTGACTGTGCTAAACTTTTAAATAAACTCACTAGAAAGTTCAAAACTTGACATTGCCAGTTGCAGTGCTATTAGAGATTCTTAAAATCCCAAAGAATATACTTTGACGGACAGTAGTTATTTTCTTCATTAAAAGCCTGGCATGTTGGTAGTTCATTTAATAATAAAAGAAATAGAAAAATATTATGACAATTTAAAGAAAATGAAAACAATCCTTTTATTAATGGCTTAATTAACATATTTTATGTGTGCCTTTCTAGTTTTTTAAAAAATTGAGTTAGAGTATTTTTAACCATAGTCTATGATGTATACGTAGGCATATGTGTGCAATTATATATGTAGCAAGATAAACTTGCCTGTTTCTCAGGGTTTTCCCATAGCAGTTTTGCAGTGGTAAAAGATCTTATGCTTCGTATAAGAAGCCAGGCATTAGTTCTTGGGAATCTCCAGAATCAAGAATAAATACTTAATAATGTCTTTTAATTACGAGAATATTTAAAATATACACCAGGAAATTCCCCAGCATTCCCAGTGACCTTGGGTTAAGAAGATGTGTCTCATGAATCTGGAATTGTCTCTTTTGTACCATAGTCTACTGCGATACCTACAAGCACTTTGGGGAAAAAAAAAAAAACTTGTCAACCAATAAGAAATACTTAAATAGTTTTACAGTCATAATTAGAAAATGCAATTTTTTTCTCATCTAATTGCATCTTTTCTTTTCTTTTTTTACAGAAATGTTTAATTCAATAAATCAGAAGAGAAAACCATGGATTTTTAGCAATTGAGGAGCAAATTAAGGTACTTGATTATTATCATCAATCATGACTGTTCATATTTACAAAATGTATTTACTGTAATTCTATTCAACCTATATGTTTTTATGAATTTTTTATCATATTGAAAGTACAGCATACTTTATAATTGAATTTTATAAATTTTTGAAAAATCAATTGACATTTCTCATATTTTCTGGAAATAAATTCACTTACTTTCTGAACAAATTGTAGTTGAACATATTTGCCATTGTGAGGAAACATATTCGAGGTACATGAAAATAAAAGGGCTAAAAGAGTTTTAGTAACACTCTCCCGATTTCAAAAGACGATTATGTTGTATTATTTTCCAACCAATATGAAATAATTATGCTAAGTTTTTTTTACTTGATGTATGGGCACTAACACAATGTATGAATTTTATTTTTTAAATTTTATTTACTCTCATTTTCATATCCATATTTATGAATTTTAATATTTGTAGATAAAATGTAGTCACATTATTGCAGCAAGATGTTTAATATAAAGCAGATTATTTTCAAAACTGATCTTTCTGTTTATCACAGATATATTTATGGACTATGGCATGAAAGATTTCAAAGAGTTTAACTTTAGGCCAGTTCGTATTTTCCATAGGAAATCATAGGAGATAAAAGAGGCTTTCATATTAATCAATAATGAAACTGGAATTTCCTCTTCTTTGGTTTTGTGTTTTTGCTGTTTGTTTGAATCAGTGTGTAGCCTAGGCTATCCTGGGACCTCTGCCTCAGCTCCTGAGTGATGGGATTATAGGTGCACCCCAATATGCCCAAGTCCTCTCTTGCATTTATTGAAAATTAATTTCTGTAAAATGACTTTGTAATTTCTAGAGTGAATATTAATGTAAATATGCAGCCTAAAATCAGAGATACCAACTTATTGCTACCATTACAATGATTTCCGATCGTTGAATTTTAGAAGGTTATACAATTGGTATGTATTATAAACTACTATCAATCTATATACAATGATTCTGTATTTTTCTCTTTAAAAATATTAAGAGACCTAAGACTATTAATATCTTGCACTTGCCTTTGTAGATGGTAAATTTTTCACTTGGTCCTTTGTCTTTTAAATATTGTAAATTTCTTTGTCCCTGTTTTGTTATCACCTCATTTGCAAACACAAACAATATTATTCTCATTTCTCAGAACATAGATATGGTCAAGTTTCTCATTTGTATTTATTGGCTTATTATCTTCACATCTAAATTTTACAGAAGTTCTTCAAAGTTGAAAATGATATGATTTATTTGGTATTTAGTGTTAGTGAAAAAAAAAATTAAATTAGTAAAATAAGCTCATTCTTTTTTTTTTTTTTAATTAAACCAAGCAAGGCTTAGCTGCACTTACTGCAAAGATTTTAAAAGGTGATGGGAAAGGTGATGGGTGACACCCTTGTGCACCTTTTGAAAGAGCACTTGACTAAGTGCTGCAGAAAAAAAGATGGGTGCAAATCACTTTCCTGGAGGCTCTTGAAAGATCCCAGAACCTGTGAAGTTCACCAAGAGCTATCAAGGTGTGAGGCCCACAGCCTGTTTTGTGAAAGAGCACAGAATGACCATTGAAAGGCTGCTGTTTTCAATGGAGCAGAAGGGTCACCTGTGTGTTAAGACCGTGTTAGGAGATGAGTTGGGTGAAGCAGGTTTGGAAGCCCATGAAATACATCTTTGCCAAAAGAAAGTCTAAGTTTTGTAGCCTAGAGGTCGTGAGAGTGATGAAGATATCCGTAGGTGTGTGGCAGTAAAATTCAGAACCTTTCTGATATATATTTTCATTATGAAATTTAAGAACATTATTAAGACAATAATATTGACTTTAATGATCACAACAGGCCCCATATATGAAGTTTCTGAAGGAATCATGCAGACTTTACCATGTTGAATGGTTCATGGTGTTTATTTCCTTGTTCTTTCATTTAGAAATAATTTATATATGATAAATTGACCCTTTTAAAGTATACATTTTAGTGGTATTTAATCCATTGTCCAGTTGTTAACTATCACTACTGTCAAATTACAGAGTATTTCTCTAATAAGAAGTCTTGTATCCCATTCCTCCTAGACCCCATCTCATGGCAACCAGTAACATAACATATTTTCTCTCTGTCACATAAATGGAATTATATAGTGCTCCACCTTTTGGATATGCTATTTCACTTAGCATAATGTTCTCAAATACCTGTCTCATTTTTTCAGTGGTCATGATGGATCTAGCATGTTGTTAAAGTCATGTTGAATGTAGCAATTTTCAAATTCTCACTAACATTTATGATAAATGTTTAGATGTATTATATCAGATTTCCCACAGGGAAAGGATAAAGTCATTGGAGAAACCCTCACTCTTCCCACTGTGGTAAAAATGGCTGAAATCACATTTGAAAAATTATATGGGAGCAATTAAAAATGTGTTATTATGTCAGAAAATGCTGTCAGAAGACGACTAAAAAAGCCTTGCTTTAATCATTAAAAACAAGTATAAGAACAATGTACGTAGTACAAGAAAAATCTCTTTGCATTTGGACAAAATATGAATATATATTTCAGTATCCAACATATGTTAGTTAATTTATGGTATCTGCTAGATTGTGTTTTTTTAAGGTTGGATTTATTGATATGTATTTTATATGGCAATCTCTTTCTTTTTAATGTTTAGTTTTACTTGCAAAACACATCAGTTTTTATAAGTGTCACCAAAATCAACATACAGAGCTTACATCACCCCCAAAATTTCCCTCATGCCCCTTTGCCGTCTATCCCTCTCTTCTCCACTCTCAGTCCCAGAGACCTGTAGATTCTGCTTCAATAATAAAATACGAAATAACAACAACTGAGAAAAAGTACCGTTAAGAGCTCATGGTTTGAAAATAGTCTTTATATATGACCTTGTGTGTGTTACATGCCCTCTCAGTGTTTCAATTTCTTTACGTGTAACATGGGATTAATAACATATGTTACCATATGGCATTTAGAATATAGCTAGGGATAGCCTAAGCACTACGTAAATGTCTGTAAAATGAACTAGCATTTTTGAACCTCAAGAGGAAAGATGTGCTGGAAGTTTACTTTCCATAGTAAATGACCTTTTTAAATGTGCTTATACACAAAGCACCAAACCAAAGTTTTCAAAGTATTAAAGCTTGTTCAGTAACGTCATTCTGGAAAAAGTTTCCATTGATGGTTCCACTCCTCCAATTCCTAGGCAAATTCTTGGAGTAATTCTTAAATTCTTTCTCACATGTGGCATACCTATCAGCATATTCTGTCTGACTACCTGTGAGAACCTCCTAGGCTCCTACCTTCATCCAAATCACAGTCACCTCCCACCTGCACGAGAAACACCTGTTTTCTTTGAGGCACTGTGTTCAGTGCACAGCCACCTCCGATTGCTCATCTTCACTGCCTGTGGAGCTGTCCTGGTTTCATTGCCAGTCACTAGACAGCTCTGCCTAAGCTTAGCTTTTTAGTTCCTCTCTCATCATCATCTCCTCAGTTCTTCACATGTGTTGTTTCCTAGACTTGAGATAGCCTCTTCTAGTGGCATCCTTTCCCTGTGCCTGCTGTTGAAAATTGAAACTGTCCAATTGCTTTATTTTTCTCTAGAACACATATCACATTATACATCATTTTGTTTATTCCTTCTTTCTATTAGTTCTCTTTTTATGGATTTTTTATATTACCACTGGCCTTGCTCATGAATTCATGTAGTAGAAAGTTAACTGAAAATATTATAGGTGAGTATGTGACTAGAGAGAAGTGAATTATCTGGGAAATACTCAGTTGAGGTCTAATGAAGATTCACTTCAAACAGACAGTTGGAACTGAGTGGTGGTAATGCCTTTGAGGATGTTTACAAGGCAAAATGGACAGATTCTTGGTGACTGATTGCACTTCAGTGATTAGAGAAAAGTTGAAAACAGAGATGGGTCTCAGGTTTGAAACCGACAATGCTGTTGGTGGGGTTCCATTAACTGAGCTGTGTAGGCAGCATACTTTCGTTTCTTTAAATATGTACATATTTAAATATGCATTGTAATTTATTTATATGAATTTATAATGTCTAGTTTATATATAAATATGTACATAATTTCTTATATATTATATAATTTATGTATTCTATTTAGATGCAGCACAAATAAACTTTATTTGTATATAATATATATATAAATTTGCAGAAGTAATGTTTTATAGAACTGCTAATATTTGTGTTGTTAGAGTAATAATATTCAGAGTTGATGTTACTTTTCATTGCTAGATATGAGTGATTTCAATGACTATAAGACCTTCATCTGAAGGTCATTAGCTATTTTATTTTTTTACTACTTTGTTGATAGATGATAGAAATTTTTTAAAATTTGATTTGCTCTGAAATTACATTTTCCAATTAATTTCAAAGCCTCAGTGAGAAAGTACAGTATGTAAAAACTGGCCATGGGCAGAGCAACAGCACATAAATTATTCAGACAGTCATTGCTACTTTTTCCATTCTTGAAGGTATAGTGGCTGTCACAATCTGTCAGCTGTATAGTTAGTGCCCTTCAGAATTTGCATGCATAAATGGTAACCTTTGGAAATCTGCATAAAGATAAGTCTGACATTCGAATGATGGTGCCAGTCAGTTGAGTGCAACTAAAATTATCAGCCACTCCCTACTCCACAGAACATGCAGCAGTGAACAGAAAGGGAAGATACACAAAACAACACAAATACTTTGTATTCATCAAAACAATAAGATAGCTCATATCAACATAATTTTTTATAAAGGTTAATGAAGTCTTAGGTAATTATTTAGTATTAGTGTTCTTGGTGTATACAGCTTTTTTCTCTGAACATTGTGTTAAAACTTGTTTAAAATGACGAAACTGAATCCTTTTAAAATAAATGTTTACTATTAAGTTTTATATTATAAAATTAGTGCATATTCTGTATTCATTGTGATCCTAATTTTCAATTATCTCTTATTCTTCTAACAGCAGCCCGACCAGACT